AAATTGCTAAAAATATTTATTCCTAAAAACACTTATTTTTTAAGTGGATTTATATGTGTTTTAAAATCTACGAAAAATATATTATATGTATATCATATAACATGCATATAAGTAGTTTCTAAGAGCTTAAWGAAATATAAAGTTTGAAAAACTATAATAAAATTTGAATGTAAAACTTTATTACCTATTAAAGTTCAACATAAAATAAGTCACTATGTAATCAGGGATTGAAATAAAGCTTCTTAAATAATCAAAATAAGTGCTTAATAAATTTATATCTAATAAGAATCATAATTTATAATAACAGCAAAAAATGGTGTCCCCGCCCATAGAAAATAAAAATTATAAAAATAGGGTCTACCATCCCTCTCCCAAAAAAACCCTATGTCTATCTTCTCATACTAGGTATTAGAAAGCATACCTATTACAAAAATAAGAACTTTAAAATTTCATATTTCAAATCGTAGTAATATGAAATAAATTTTAATTATTTTCAATAATAAATTATCATTTATTATGGGTGCATTTTTTGACATTTAGTGAGGTACATGGTATATTTTGTAGTTTATTGTGTAATGTTTATATTTATGTATAATGTTTTATTATAACATATCAATATGTATACCTAGGTACTTAAATGTGAAGTATCAACTTCTGTCATCGTACCTCTGTTGTCTGTCCTCTAATAAATGTTAAGTTCAAATTACGATGTAATGTATATTGTATAGTGTATACAAATATACAATTATACAGCACCTATTTATTTTAGATTCTGATCAACAGTAGCAAGAAATGTATCAGTTTTACAAAATGTATATATCTGTTCATATTTTCTATGTCATCAATTTATATGTACCTGTGTTACACTTACCTATTTTTAGCAGTAGATATGTGCACCCAAACCCATTGATAATAATTAATAAACCATATTTAGAAAATAGGTTGGTAAAAAATACCTATATGTTCCTAAAGTTTGGTTACAACGATTTTGAACAACTGAAAAACAGTAAAATACGACCCACTCATATTTTTAGAAACTATGAAAAATTAATAAGTTAAGTTATTAATTATTTATAATTCCAACAGATACTATAGTTATACATTTGATAATATTAGGTTTTAGGTAGGTACTGTTGTTTTTACAGCTTCCTAAATTTAAATACTTACCTAAAGATTTTTTACCATGCAACGTTTTTTTTTAAATTTTAACTTTATGATTGTGTAAAATTAAAATTGTATGTTCCGATGTGTGAATTAAATAATAATAACTCATGTTTGATTGAAGTAGGTGTCCATTTTACATTCYTTAAATAAAATGTYTTATAAAACTAACTAAAGTTTTTAAGAAGGCATAAAATTATATGTGTTTAAATTTGATTGGTAGGTAGGTACTTAAATACTTTAAACTTATAAACCTAATATTAATTATAACTGTAATCGAAAAAACTGCGACGTTTGGTTCATAACATGGAATTCAACCAGGGTTCATTTATAAAGTACCTACATAATTAAAATGATACATAATCCGTATGATATTTATTCCAAGCATATATTTCTTCTACAAATTACGTAAGAGCATGTACATGATATATTGCTTTATTACGAACTAACTACGATGTATTTGCGTTTTAATTAATACTTAGTTAAGCTAACGACTTGCGATTAATCAGATCGATTTTATATATGTATAATATATTATTATGTACTATTTTTTTTCGTATAAACAATGTTGTAATAGATAATATTATATAATTCATCTGCAGGATTTTATTGGTTAATGATTTAATTTACATACTGTACATAAAAGACTCGGTCGTCAGTCAAAAAGTTTTACCTTGACCTTAGAATTTAAAAGTTTGGAATWCGAACCATACACGATAATTAATAATAAGTTTATGAATAAACTATTGTTCTTACCAAGCTCTCCAGAATCGTAACCAAATGATTGTTCGTTTTCTCCGTGGCTTGGTGATCCGCATGTTAGACCTGTAATAAAATAATTTGCTTTAAATCTTT